AAAGGACAACATTTCAGAATTCAAATAATTACCAAAATTTTAAGTGTTTGTGCAGAACCYCACATGCACAGAATTCAGCCATCATTTCCTAACAGTCAGTGCATTTGTGGATTTTTGTTATCAATAAGTCAGCTTTGTTCTGCAATAGGAAATCCTTCCCTCCCTCTCTCCTCTGACCACAAAGGCAGCCCATCTACCTACCATTCAACACATACACAATAGAAACCCACCTCTGGGAGAGCAGAGAGGAAAAGAAAGTATAAAGAATTTTTGGACTCTGTCCACCTTGTCCAAGAGGAAACTCTCAGGGACTTTTCACCTCATGTCCTTCATTTTCCATTCTTTCTCCACCACAGAGCTTTTAAAATCTTTCAAATCAGCAAGCTGACCTCAGCAGCCCCATTTTCACATGAAGTAGTCTGGACATTTGTTCAAGAGCTTTGCATGTTTTGTAGAGGTTTCCATCAGAGCCCATCAAACATAATATACGCTGAAACCCTGTTGTGAAGGAGGTRTTTCTTATTGTATGAAAAGAAAAGCACTAAGGCACAGAACCATTACAGGATTTGCCCGAGGCCTTTTGTCAGCTTGTTGACAGAACTAAAAATATAATCAGTCTGGCATCAATAGAAAACTCCCTTGACTTGTATTTGTTGGTTATGCAAACATCAGCAAGGAAACAATCGGGTTCAGTATTCTTAGATATAAAGATAACAGTGTTGATATATTGATTCAGCAAAGAACTTCAAGCCTCTGCTTATGTTCTGTTTATGTTGAAGTTCAAGGTTGTGTTTGTATTTTAAAGTAGCTCTTCAGTTGCCATCACTGTGTTGCCTGATGCACTTTCCATCTTTCACTCCTTTGTGCAGGGAATGCTTTGAGAGGTGTGGATAAATCCACTTCTYTCAGTGTGGATAAAGCACAGAGAAACAGGTTGCCAGTGTACTCTGGTAGCATTGGATAGCTTTTTATTCCCAAGGTTCCTCCTACCAGGTCAGCTGTGGTGGGACAGAGTTCTGTGGGGCTTCCCYGAGTCTTCCATGGGCTTTTGCAGCTTGTGCTGAGTTCAAGGCTGCTGTGGCCATTCCTAATGTGGTATCTGAACACTTGCTCAGATGTGCAGCCTGGAGACAGCTGTGCTGAGGAAGAATTTACACTGCAATATGTGTAATTGCTCATTCCTAACTCCTGTCAGAACTTCCTGTTCCATCCCGCCTCTGGCTGTGGTGTTCCCAGGCACAATCACAGTTGTCTCTGCTCAGAATTAGTGGAAAGGTTTAAATAGCAGCTGGTTTAGACCCTCCCKAGCATTGGCTGGCACAGGTACAGGCTCAGCTGAGGTGGTCCCAGCTGCCATGAGGGAGGATCTTGTCAGACACGCTCAAGGTCCTCCAGAAGATCTGTGCCAGAGACAGACCTGAAATTTGACCTTTGTTGTCTCAAGGTAACCCCAAAAGATATTTTTCAACCAACTGCTCTATTATATCAAGGGTATTAGGGCTGCCATCATTGCCCCGTTTTAATTACAGAGGTTTTCTGTGTTGATTTCAATGTGGCTTCAATATCGGGTAGCTTTTTAACAGCTTTTACAGGATTTGCCATCTGTCTTATCAGCATCCTATAATCAGTTCCATTTTATAGGRATGCATTTGCAGTTATTTATATTACTTCAGTGAAATACATCTCCATAAGAAATAATTGGAAATAATAACTCCATTTTCCAAAACATGGGAAAGAAACTAAAGCCWTGTTAAAAATTGGATTTTGCTAATTGCTGCTAGCTCTTCAGCTCACTGTTCTCTTGTCTGTTTAGGAGAATGAACTGAGCTTTGTATATAGTGCCCAGCTTGATGCATTTAACAGCATGAGTGGACCTGTGAAAGTTTTAAAGAAATAAATTTAAATATCACTTAGATGAGGGCAGGGCTGGAAGCAGATGGGCTGAAGTGCAGTCAGATCACACAGGGGTGAGAGGGGGCTTAGGCTGTCGGTAGGTGAGAGCCAGGGCCGCAGCCACATTTGACAGACAGCTTGGTGGGAAGTCCTTGCCAGAGAAAGGCGTGGATGTGCTTTGGTATATACACTTTAAATGTTTAGCAAATTAATTTCTACTGATTACTATTTATTTGGTGTAATCAGAAGTGTGTCTGTTCTTGCCTGAGGCGGGGAAGGAGTTTTAAAGCATTATTAGCGTAAGCTTAACAACACTTTCATCCTATACATAAATATTAACCTGTTTTCATGGATAAAAGCTCTCAATATTGGCTGAACACTGTTCCTGCTGATTTCATTATGCCAGGAGTGAGGAAATCATCCCAGATTATTTCTCACAGCTCCCCCAAAATTTACAGATCCCATGACTGCTTAAGAACCCCATCGGGCAARTTGTTAAGCACCGCCAGAGGTTTTGCAAGTTTAATTTCTGTGGCAAAACAAGGATATTTGCTTGTTATCTTCCAATTTAATTGTTGGCTCTTCCTAGCTCCATGYGTGCAGTGCATCCTGTGCTCCTCCTGCAGAAGGGTCGGAGCGTGGCTCCTCATCTTGTCTGCAGWCTGAGGTGCTGAGTGCTGGCTCTGATAAACTGTCAGTGCTGCAGAGTTCTGCACTGCCTGAGATTCTGAAAAACTGATATTTGTTCCAAATGCAAATCTGTACAAAACAGGCCTTATTCTCCTGAGCACAACTCTCCGTATCTCCTCCCAGGCACATGCTCAGATGGTGCTTGGGGAAAGGAGGGATGTTTTGTATGGAGCTTGCTAATTATGAAGCAGATTTCATCAGCCATCTTTGCAAATTGGCCTTAAAATTATCAGAACCCCAAAGTAGCGTTAAAACTGCCTTATAACAGCAATAATGGATGAGCTTCAGTGCAGCAGGCAAGTGTGTAATGCTCAGATACATGTGAAGTGTGTGGGACTTTGTGGAATCTGGTCCTRAGAGTGGAAAATCAAAAATAAAGATGATGGACAGAGGCTTATTGGCATTTTTGTATAAGAGCCAGGAGGCAATTTAATGTGCCTCTATTTCAATCACAGTCTCTTTGGGTCTTTGCTGAGAAAAGCTGTCCTCCAGTTTATGCATAGTCCTGACATTCATGCATAAAAATTTCTTGGCATGTTTCTGTTTTGTTTAAAACATTAGTTCTTTCTAAATGGTCATGACTTGCCATGGAGGAGCTGCTTTGATGTTTTGTTGTACWGTCAAAGTCTTCCTTTAGGCTTGAAACAGGCATAGACTGGTGCTCAGCTGTACCATGGGCATGGAGGAATGTTGCATTTATCCTGATTACCTTCCCTAAAAATAAAACCCAGTTATTTATTTAGTACAAAATGCTGTGCCATTTTTATAGGCAAAGATAAATTGCCTTTCCAGAGGTTCTTGCTGTTGCTTCTCTGAGTGCCTCCACACAACAATACTCRAAGTGCCGCAGGTTATATTTGAAGGCAGGGTGAGGAATGCCTGAGAATGAGGGAACACAGCCCACTCCAAAGCATCCRAGGGCAGCTGGGCTAAGGGCTGCAGGTGGAGGTGCTCTGCTCCATTTTGTGCTGGGAGCTGAAAACTACAGCAGTCTCCCTTTACTTCATCGAGAGTATTTTTTTTAGACAGCGTGTGCTTAGCTTTTGTAGAGGGTCTCTCTGGATCCCAGCCTTCCCCTTTTCTGAGGAGCAGGGACACCTTGGCTATTTTCAGGTTTTGTCAGTGGCTGGAACAAGTTTAGTGCAGGTTTTCTTTGCCTTTGGTGCTGAAAGAGGCCAGTATGAATTGTCCTGACACAGAAAGGGCAGCAGAGTGCTTTAGAGAGCAGAGTTTCTATTAAAGCTTAGACATAAACATCAGACCTTACCTCTTTGGCACGTGGCCTTTTGCTGGGAGAAGGGTGATCTCTCCTTGGCTTTCCCCATTTCAGACCAACTCCTGCTGCTTTCTTCACAGGAAGGAGATGTCAGCATAATCCTTGGCTTTTCTTAACCTCTATTTAAAGAGCAGAGGTTTCCAAAGCTGCTGGGTCAGCCTCCCTGCCCATCCTCTGTTCTGCCTGCCTCTGAACCTGGAATCAGGGATGATCCAGGACAATCCCACAGGCTTCCGCCTTGGCTGCTGTGGCTCTCCCACCTCCAGTTTCTGTGGCACATCCAAACCAGCCCATGTATGGTTTGAATTTAGATCTATTTTAGTATTGAAATGCCCATTAAGAGCTGTAATTTACTGCTGTCTTCCTAGAACAGTACATGTTTGCTACCAACTGCTTCCTGTCCATCAGAACAAAATGCTTTTTAAGGAGGGATAGGGTGGAATATTTTTTTTTGTGCTGTTGTTGTTTTGGARATGGTGGTTTAAGTTTTTCTTTCCAATATCTTTTTCAATGAGATCATTTCCTTGCTATATGTTAGGATTTTGCTTTGAGGGGGGTGTTTGTCTCTTGAATTCCCAATATACCAAGTTTTGGCACTTTATGGTGTTTCAACCATCAATAACTTCTTCAGTTAAGCACTYTGAAAACTTGATGAAAACTGTACTCCAACTTGCAAAACTATGTTTGTATTATACAACAACACGTGCAAAATTGTGTSTAATATGTGTATTTGTGTGTACAAATATTTATATATGCATGCACACACATGATACAGGTATTGAGATTTCTTCCTCTAATTGACATCAATTCACTCCCTGAAAGTGGTAAGCTTTTAATAAATATGCCATTTCCTTTGTCCTTTTGCTACAAAAATTGATAGAATACAGAACCAGGCAGGCTTTCTTCTGCAGATTTGTTAACATAAACTTTACAGAAAGAAAAAATATTTTCWTTTTCAAATTCCATGTTTCACATTTATGCACAATCTTGAATTTGGTAGAATTTCAYTTTATCTATTCGGATGCATTTTCCCAAAGAGCTCTTACTGAACACTCACCCCTGTGTGACCGGGGGCCAGGACAGAAGAACAAAAATAACTCATTCTTAATTTTTCTTTTCTTCTATCTGGTCTATCTGGGTTGCAGCCATTATCTGCCTCTTTGGGGAGAGGGAATGAATTGTGGGGCTCTCCTACTGTTCACAGCCTGACCTTCAGCACATTTCTGTGTCTCTAATGAAGTTTAGAGCTAATTTTCCTCTTGGGAATTCTTTCTTCAAGTCGTGTTCTGAGTTCGTGGATGCAAAAGGAGGACAGGGCCTGACATCCACAGCCAGATGGCTGCTCTGGATCTGAACTTTCCTTGCTCTTCTGTTGCACAACAGGAGTTGAAGAGGGTGCCTGCTTAATACATGGCATCAAAGTGCATTAGCAGTGTGCATTTGCAGCTTTGTCAAAGCAGGGATGAAAGAACTGGCAGGTCATTCTGAAAGCACWTGGTAAAACCTTAAGGAAAAGCATTTAATCTAATTGTACCCATCATCCGGAATTGTYTGCGCTTGGAAAGAGATGACAATTTGAAATAGATAGGCATCAGTTCTCTTCTGGCATCAATTTTCTCAATGCTCTTTCTTTTTTTTCTGGTTTTTATTGTCTTTCCACTGCACACAGGGCAACTCACTCTGCCTGTGAGGAATTGTTCAGGCACTGCAATGTGCTTCAGTCATGTGCCTGAGTGAGTCCTCCCTGCCAGTCAGCTCAGGTAAAGGATCTCTCTGTAGYTCTGGCTGGGGATGGGCCAGGCCTGAAATGTCACATTTAATTAATAAATGACTTCAGGAAAGGATTCTAAGAATGAGTTGAAGCCTGGCAAGGCAGGATTTCGAAGGAAAGACTGAAGGCAGTCCATCAGGGAGAAAGTGGACAAATAAAAGGGATCATAGTGTCCAAAGAGCTGAACAAGGGTCACTCCTGGCAGGGCACACGGCTTGCCAGAGCCACAGGAAAAGACACAATGAGATTCAGTGCTTACAGGCAGAAACAAAGCTCTCTYAGATTTGGAGACCTATTGAATTCTTCATTACTTCCAGCCTTTAAATCAAGACAGGATCAATTTATAAACTGGGATATGTGGACTCTGTGCAGATGTCCTTAAYCAGCATCTTTCACAATTTATGCAAGAGACAATTACTTTCTTCTGCTTCTAAAAGTGTGTTATAAAATTAAGTTCATTCCACAGGACAAGGGAATGCTGGTTTTTTTTTCTTTTTTAATTTTTCAMCCCYTTCCATGGTTAGGGCTCTGTTATCTGTGAGCTCTGGTCCYTTCATGGGGAAGTAATTTGTGTTTTCCACTGCTCCTGTATAGTCTGACTGATTCTGCATGACCTGGCTAAGGGTGTCATGTCCTATTAAAGGAGTAGAGACCAAAATACAGTATCTTGGCTATGGAAAATTTTCCTAACGTGACTTTGTCACTTTTCACAAGTGGAATCACAAATTTTTGAGAAAAATATGAAGTGGCTAGAGATGGAGTGACAGGTGAGGACRTGTGCCTGTGAAGTTTCATACTGATGTGGATTGCTGATGGTTTAGGAAATAAAATAACATTTATTATGGAATAGACCCAATATCCCAGGTTACAGCACAGTCCTTGATTGGAASGCTGGTGGTGCTGAGCAGCCTTAAACTTCATTCTCCCCACCAGCAAAGCAAAATACAGTCTGAGGATCAACAGCAAAGTGTCTTGTGGGCAAAGCTGATGGTCCAAGTGCTGCTGAGAGGGGAGCAGAGTGGGCAGAGCTCCCTTCCCTCAGCACCTGCCAGCAGAAGAGCTCCAGAGCAGGAAGGGTATCGGAGGCTCCCAGTTGCCTGAGTCAGCCATGGCCAGTGGCTCTGTCTGGGGTGGTTGCTTTGTTTTGTGCTGCCCTGGGCATAAACTGAGCAGTACAAGACAGATGGGCAGGTTTTTACTTCAGCTTCCTTATCTATTTTTGTTTCTTTCCCCTTCTTTGCAGTATGTGGTCATTCCAACTCGCCGTGCAACTGCAGTGGCCTTGCAGAGTTTCACTTCACACCTCCTGGGAGATGCTGGCAGTCCTTATCTCATTGGATTTGTAAGTGCTCACTGCAGGCTCTGGCAGGGTTTGTTTTTGTTTCCAAACTGCTCATCTGAAATGCCAGGTTAGATCCTGCTGGGAAGGAAGGCCTGTGTTTGTCAGCAGAATGGGAAGTGCTGCAGAGCAGTGCAGGTTTTTTTACCTGGTTGAGTTGTTGTTGAGCTGCAGTTCAAACCRAGGAGGGGGGACCACCTGGGTGTGGGAAATGAACTTCCACATCTTTTTAACCTGTTTATAAAGCTCACAGACAGCTCTGTAAAGAGAGGGTGTTCTTGCTGTGCTGTGGACATGGGGCTGATAGAAGTTAGGTTGGAAGAGAGTCGTTTGTGTTTAGCGGTTAACTGACCTCAGAAACCAAATACCTATTTATGGGCAGCAACACACAGCTTTGTACATGATTTGTATGATAATAAATCATAGAACCACAGAATGTCCTGGGCTGGAAGAGACCCACAAGGATCATCCAGTCCAACTCCTGACCCTGCACAGATACCCCAACAATCCCAACCTGTGCATCCCTGAGAGTATTGTCCAAATAGTCCTGGAGCTCTGGCAGCCTCAGGGCCGGGACCATTCCCTGGGGAGCCYGGGCAGTGCCCAACCWTGAGTTTTCAGTAGTGATMCTTCCTGGGATGTTCWTTTTGGGTTCCTTTCTGTGACTGCATCAGTGGCTGGCCTTGGTCTAACTGGGGATCTCCCTTCCTGTGCCACCATTATCCAACTGCAGAATAGAACGAGACCCAGCTCGAAAATCTGGCAAACAGAGAATGTTCACAGTTGAAAATAAAAGACCTGTGAAATTTAATATGGAAAAGAAATCTAGTTGTACTAGATTTGTACAAATGGGGAAATGTCTTTTTCCTTCTATGKAGTTTGATGCATGAGTTTCAGAGATCACAGATCATGATTTATAAAATACAGTAGCTTCCACAGTAATGCCTGAGTGGCCCTGCTCATGGTGTGTTGAAGRTGCTGCTACCCAGGGATGTGACTGGTCCTCACTGGTCCCATCATCTGAGWCAGGACTTTGATGTGCTCCTCCAGCTCAGACACAGCAGCTGGGTGCTGTGGGACTTTTTTATTTTTTTGCAGCCATCATTGCTCATCTATTCATCTTGTAGACACTGGTGTGTGTAGCTTACACATACTTACTTATATATATTAAATTTTGTKAGTATATCTGTTTAAATATACATAAATGTTTACTCTTGAATGGCAGTGCGGTGTCTGCTCTGTAGCCCTCTGTAGCACACAGGAAAAGGCAGATAGAGATAAGACTGAGGAGACCAAAGAAATGAGAAATCTCAAGAGAAAAAAATTGCACAATTTAGCTTACTCTTTATTTACTTCAGTGTTCTGGGTACCCGGGAGAAATGATCTTATTTTAGAAGTTGTTTGAAGGWGGCAAGAACAAAGAACAAAGGAATTGCAGGAGAAGCTGCTTCATGCAGGGCAGGTGATGTGGGGAATGTGGGGGAGGAGAAGGAAACAGGCATGACMGGGAATTCTGATGGCTGCAGATGAGGGCAGGGTGGCATGTTCATCCTTCTCCTTACATAAGAGGGATGTCCAGGAGGAATACCTAGGACACTGAATGATTGCAATTATTCTTGAAAGTTGCCTGGGGCTCTTTRATGTCGTAGATTGAAGAAAAAAAAAGGCCTTTGGTTGTATAAATAATGTGCTTTGCCCTCCTGGTGTGCAGAGATCAAGCAAGTTGTGAGTTGCTTAAGGATTCTTGGCTGAAATATGCATRGGCCAAGTTTAATAGCTGCATTAGTCTTTCTTAAGACTGAGAAAATATTAGTTATTATTTTGAATTATCCTTTTACAATGCTGTAAGTGTTGAGCAGTTGGGATTTGGGAGGAGACAACGCAGGTCCAAGGCTCTGTGTAGGAGAGCAGGAGTGAAGCATCACATTATGGAAGGAGCCAGCATCCCTTTGTGCAGTCTCTTTTCTGGCTGGGCTGATTCATCCTCCCTCTGCTACCACAACTGAAAGGTAGCAACTCCACATAACACTAGAAAAAARTACTATTTAAAGTGAAAGGACAGATACTCAGCTTCCACACCAAAGCTAAAGCAAGCACTGAACCTGGGTGGTAAAAATCACTGGAATTGTCCAGCTGCAGCATTGAAACCTCACYTGGGCAGGTTACAGAAGGGGCTCAGATTCCAACCAGGATTTTCAAGTCAGTCCAYAATGGCTGAGCAACCTGCTCCTGCTGGATAAAAGGGAAATTTGGGAACCTGATTCACACAGTCCTTCTGGGAATCCCCATCCTGAGGGCATCGGTGCTCACTCTGCTGTGACTCCAGAGTCTTCACGAGGCAGACCAAGAGCAGGGGKTAGGTTTTGAAGGAAAACAGCAGCAGGCCCTGGAGGTGTCCAGCCTTAATGAWTCTGTGATTCTGTGAGCTGCAGTCACAGGCAGGCTCAGAATGGGTGAAACTTGGCCTCCTGATCACTTGGGTTCACCTGGGGTCCCGGAGCTCCAGCTGTTTATAGAAATGCCCTGAAGCTCCCTCACTACATGATCAGTGCTTTGATCAAGTATTGTGGGATCCTACATGGTTTTGGTGAGTTTATAGTGAGATTCCCTCTAGCAGTGCTCTTAATAAAGAATCAGCGACCCTTGTCCTTGTAAGACTGAGCTGTGGCAGGCAGTTGKCTCTGCTGGATACCAATAAGTGTTTTATTGATCTTCAAATCCCTGTGTGGAAMATAGAAGGTGCTGATCAGCCACAGCCTCAGGTGTGTGATTGCTGCTGAGCTCTTTGGTGTGTCCTGAGAGCTCAAGGTCACGCTCAGACTTTCTGTAATTTCGCTGCCCCACCCCCGGCTTCCAAATCTTGCACTGGAGCTCTTTAAACCACCCAAAGCACGAACACACATTAGTACTTAAAAGCTAAGTGGCAGGGAGCACATATGTGTGGCTATTTTTCATGTTTCTTTTAATACTGTTAACTTTTATTACAGCAAAAAGGCTTAAGATTGACTTACAAAGGAGTTATGCAAATGCAGCTTTAGGGTGGCAGCTGTAATTTGCATAAGGCTTTACTACTTGCCAAGCTCTGAGATCAATTACTATAAATCAGCATTGCTTGTTCATTTACAAATACAAATAGGCATTGCTGCGGTATTTCAGTAGAAGAGACAGCTTTTATTCCTAGAGAGCTGTAACTTTTTTCAGGACCCTTGTGATAACCAACCTGCAGAGTTTAAATAACTCCTTTTTAACAACTCCAGTGTAACTCCATGATTTATTCTTGAGGTAAGAAATCTCATCTGTTCAGTGCATTTCACCCAAATATCTCTAGTATTTTTCTGCCTTTGACTGCTCCCAGTATGCATACACAATTGTTGGAGCACAGAAGAGTTAASAGAAATGCCCCAAATCCCACCACTCATGTTGAGTAAAGGTCTTCAACTGCTGCCTTAGATAGCATTTCAGACTCAGAAGAGAGAGTGGAGGAAGATGGCAGCAGCATGTGAAAGACAGTTAACTCTTCTCAAACAGCATCACAGCTCCAGCTCTTTGTGTTACTAATTCTGGTTAGATCTGGTTGCCYTTTAAAATAAAGCAACTGCAAGATGTCCCAGTGAGTCCATTCTCCTSTGTCCATATGTGTACATGCAGGAATCTTGTCTTTCCTACTCAGGGTTTACATCATCCTTCTCATTGTGTCCCGCTCCACCTCCTGACTGCTCTTCTGCTTCTGGAAATCTGAGTACAGACAGAGGGKTTTTTTATTTCAAGTCTGTGGCTTGGGACTTCTTCTTTCTTTCTTTCCAAGTTTGTAAATTGCTTCCTACCTGAGCACTTTGCTCTTCCAGCCTTGCCTTGTCTATGGCTGTGATGCCAACAGAACCTGCTGCAGACATTGCTCTCCCTCCACGTGCCAGATCAGGTGCTGCTGTGGGCRCACACTGTCCTCACTGCTCTGGTGCTATTTGCTCTCCTGTTTGCTTAAATTCTGTCTCATCTTCTYTGTGCAGCTGTTCATGATGTCTGGGCATGGAAACCAGTCTGCATCTGCTTGTCACCTGGCAACATCAGCCTTTGAAGAGGGTGTTCTAAAGTGAGAGAGATCAGCTTTCTTTCACCAGCACCTTTTGGTGCACTAAAAGCTGATTCCTGGACTCCTCTGATGGGGGTTCCTACCTTTCCTGCCCTCCTTGGCTCCTGCTCTTTCAGTTTTACGACAGAGACACCACCTCCAGCCACTCCAGCCCAGTTGGGCTGTGGAGCCTTGGCACCCTTCACTTTTCTCCCTTCCTCAGCTTTCCTGTGAGCAGGTTGATGAACTAGTTCTAATGAGCTATTTAAGCAGTAAGAATACTGATGACCTTCCTTTAGCAAATAGTTAGCAGAGCAGTTTTAATTAAACCTGGTTCAGACTTTCAGGGTAGGCAGATCTGCATTTCATTAGGGACAAGGCAAGAAAAACGGTTGTAAATGCAGCAATTAAGATACTTTTTAATGAAGGTTATAACTGGAAGTGCAGATTTCACAGCATCTTGGCCCAGTCTGAAACAGCCTTTCTGTTGATTTGGTTTGAAGATGTTTACCTAACCAAGTATACCTGTATAGAAGGTAGTTCTACATGTAAAGACTTGCCTGCTTGAGAAAGCAGAATATATGTATTATGGTTTAAAATTCATATTTTATAGTTTAAAATGCTATGGCTGCCTCAGAATAGGACATGATTACTGTGGAGGAACATTTTTTCCAATTTAGTTTKCTAGATTAAAACAGGCCACAGCCCACTGGGACTCAAATCCTGTCTTAAAAAACGGGTAGTGGAATAGAGTGGCTGATAGGGATGTGATGCTGCAGTCTGGGTGTTCTGTCCCTGTCTGACCCAGGCAGTCATTCCTCAAATATGGCCATGAGGTGCTCGCTGGTGGCTACACAGTCCTGTCTCTCCTGCCAAAGCAGGGTAAGAGATAAACTTGAGGTCAAAAAGGCAGTAATGTCCTGTAACAAAAATG